CTCCCATCATTGTAATGAGGCGTTGGAACACCAAACCTACTATCTCTCCTATAGTGATTGCAATTGTACTTTCCGTCCACACGCTCTCCTGCAACAACAAAGAGACAAATGCAGCCAAAAGCTGTCCATCTGCGTTTTCTGAAATGATGCCAAAATAAGCACAAGAGAAAAAGACAACAACAACAAAAATGCAAAGTTTAAGCAAAGACTAAGACCTCTAAATGGGCTGCAATCTGACTGACCTACAAAATAGGATCCGTGTGAGCGAATGTAGAGCTGATGTCCCTCATCCGCTTCCTTCTTGGGTGGATTGATGACCTCACCGCCGTTAGATACTGCATTTAAAAGAATTCACAGATTTGCTGTTTCTTTTGATTATTGAGTCTATACATGACTATGCTGGTGAGGTTTCACTATTACTCTTAAACTGGAGCGTTGTAACACCAAAAGTGGATTTCTCAGCATCGAGCCAGCTTGGTAAACCAGAGCCTTGAACTCCTGACCTCCCAAGAGGAGCTTTCTGATAGTTGGCATAATTGAATTCATGAAAATGATGCAGCCTCTCTTGGAAGTGTGTTTTTGGTGCAGGATTGATCACTGATCCAGCCTGAAAATGCATTCATGCAGTGTACAAACAACACATTTTTCCCATCTATTACATTTTCAACAAAGTCTAAAGTTGCCAATGTGCTTTTAACTGAAAAAAGAGAAAAAAATCTCATGAATAATTTTTCAAGTCTAAAAAAGACTTGGTTTTCTCTAAACATTTTGTATTTTGATTTTAAGTGAAATACTGGTTTTGTGTGAATCACCCACAAGTTAAAACAGTTTAAACATGAAGCAATAAGAACGAATATGATCACTAAAACAATTTTGACATGATGACTGTCTTACATTAATGGATGATTTAGTGTTCACACCATGGACTAGTGTGCTGGCAATATCAGGATCGTTTGCTTTTCCATGGTAGACACGAACTGTCCCAACGGGCGGCTGAGCAGAATTGACAAACTTTCTCACCACAGGTGGAGTTACTAAAAAAATAAACAAATATTTTATACAATGTTAGTCAAAGGTTTGGTTTGGTTTTTCAAAGGTTTTATATACACACATACACAGAATGGTTTGGTACATCAATTTACTGATATATATAGATAGATTCTCTATGGGGTTCAGGTCTGGTGAGTTTGCTGGCCAGTCAAGCACACCAACACCATGGTCATTTAACCAACTTTTGGTGCTTTTGGCAGTGTGGGCAGGTGCCAAATCCTGTTGGAAAATGAAATCAGTCACTTCAAAAAGCTGGTCAGCAGAAGAAAGCATGAAGTGCTCCAAAATTTCTAGGTAAACGGGTGCAGTGACGTTGGTCTTCAAAAAACACAATGGGCCCACACCAGCAGATGACGTTGCACCCCAAATCATCACAGACTGGAAACTTAACACTGGACTTCAAGCAACGTGGGCTATGAGCTTCTCCACCCTTCCTCCAAACTCTAGGACCTTGGTTTCCAAATGAAATACAAAACTTGCTCTCATCTGAAAAGAGGACTTTGGACCACTGGGCAACAGTACAGTTCTTCTTCTCCTTAGCCCAGGTAAGACGCCTCTGACGTTGTCCGTGGTTCAGGAGTGGCTTAACAAGAGGAATACAACAACTGTAGCCAAATTCCTTGACATTGCAAGTGTTTTGAGTTGATTAGCTGATTGGCATGTCACCATATTCAAGTTTGTTGGGATGGTGAATTAGTGGGTTTTTGTTGGATGTGAGACAGGGTCATCACGGTTGGAGGAGCCAGGGACTTGGGCTGCTTCGGTCTGTGTGCATTGAATTTGTTTGGTACACGAGTTTCACGGTTTGAGTTGAATTGCTGAAGTGGATGGGCTTTTCCAGGACATTCTAGTTTGTTGAGATGCACCTGTATATGTATGTACAGTGGTGTGAAAAAGTTTTTGCCCCCGTCCTGTTTTTTTTAATTGTTTGCATATTTGTCACACTTAAAAGATTCAGATCATCAAACAAATTTTAATATTACACAAAGATAACCTGAGTAAATATAAACTGCAGTTTTGAAATTATGATTTCATTTATTAAGGGAAAAAAGCTGTCCAAACCTGCCTGGCACTACGTGAAAAAGTAATTGCCCCCTAAATCTAATAACTGGTTGTGCCACCCTTTGCAGCAACAACTGCAATCAAGCGTTTGCGATAAATGGCAATGAGTCTTTCACAGGAATTTTGGCCCACTCTTTAAAATAATGGTTTCTATTTTAATCTCCTTTAAAATATAGTTTATTTCTGTGATGCATCATGCAAAGCTGAATTTCCATCAGCCATTACTCCAGTGTAAAGCGTCACTTGATTCTTCAGAAATCATTCCAATATGCTGAAATAAATTATATTTTAAAGTATATTAAAATAGAAACCATTATTTTATATTGTAATAACATTTTGCAAGATAACTTTTTTTTTGTTGGTATTTTTGATCAAATAAATGCAGCCTTGATGAGAATAAGAGACTTC